GGTCACAGTTGACTTTTTCCCTAGCACAGTCGATTTTTTGGACCTTTGAGCAATTGACTGAGCAAACTTCCTCTGCAAGGCTTGAAATTTGACATGGATGACCTTGAGAACATATTAGGACATTGGGGAGCACTTGAGGTCATTTGGACTCAAAGATCTTGATGCAACCCAAAACCCTAATTTGGGGTAGACTGCCTTAGGAGATAGCTTGTATGTCCAACTTTTGAGCAAACTTGAGCAACTTGGAGATTTTTCTTGCAATGTTTTGAGAAATATGAGAGGGCAAATTTTGGGGTACAACACATTGGATTGACAGATGAATTTTGCAGTCAACTGATCAAAAGTCAACTCTGCACTGAAAAGTCAAACTTTGACTTTTTGGTCAAAATCAAATGTCAAGGGTCATAATTCGTCAAGATATGTAAAAATATGAAACTTGTTCACCAAGAAAATCAAATTTGGAAATTAGGGTTTTGAATTTCAAAAATTTCATAACTTAGAATTTTTCTAAGTATGGAAATTTTCTTATTTTTTCCCAACTTTTCACCACTTTTTCACCATGATGCAATTTGATTCAAAGAAAACTTCCAACATGAAAGTTGTAGTCCTCCATGAAATCTACAACTTTTCTTCACAAAGTTTTCCAAAAAGATGCTTGGATCTCAAGTTATGAATTTGTGAATAGGGGTCCATGAACTTCTTAACTTAGTGAAATTTTGCCCTAATTCAGACAGGTTTCTGACCTAACTTCATGGCAACTTTTCACCTAGTTACAAGAGGTATCTCAAAATGCATTTCAAAGGTGGATTATAGAGCACATTGCAAGCTTTCCAAAATGTCAAAGAACTCTCCAAGATCATTTGTGGTTAGGGAGAATCGAAGAAGAGAAATTGGCATTTTATCACTTTTGTTCATGCCATTTTTTATAAAGTATCAAGTTGCAAATCAGATCCATGATTCTTGTACCTTGCATTACAGGTCCTAAACTCATTCTACACTCCATAATTAAATGCAAACTCAGAGGTTAAAGGCTTTATTCTCACTTTTGAAGCATTGTACAAGTTGTAATTCCATTTTAAGCATAAAGGTTATAATGTCATTTTCATAAAGTGAGCTTTTGCAACTTTATCATTATTAAGCCTTGGAGCTGTCCCTTTGGTGCAGGAAATTTCCACAGATCTTAAGCAACTTGTACAAGCCCTTTGCAGCTCACAAGCAAGCAAGGACAGACCTGTTAGCATGGTCACTTCAACTTTTCTTCAAATGCAAGAAAAGTTGCAAAAAGTGCTAGAACTTGTACAGCTAGTGAGAGTGGACTTTGTATCCATTCTATACAAATATACCAAGTCATTACAATGCAACGACACGAATTGATAGCATCCAAAACACTCTCAAGCTCAAAAAACACAAAATTCTGCCAAAACATTACAGTTCTGCAAAATCATTGCCAACTTCATTTTGGCTCGTTCGTTTTGCCCTTTAACATTTGAAACATCTTCCACATATCCTACCAAAGCAATCCAAGCATTCATCCTGCATTTGTAAGCCCTGTTTCAGCTATTTCCATTTTCAAACTTGGAGCTTGCAACTTGACTTCTACAGAGAGTTTTGGCCATCCACAAAGCAAGCTAGGTATTGGAATAGTTTGAAGGAAGTTCAAGGAAGCTCACACGATCCTCAGGCCTCACTCAAAGTCCCCACATTGTCATATCTAAATCCAGCTGAAGGAGGTATATTCCTTAAACTCTATCTCTGTATTTAGGCATCCTCAAGCCACGATTTGTGAAGGAAAGATGTAGCCCTTATCATGGTGAAGCTGTACATATGCATATTTGTCATTTATACTAACTGAGCTAAGAGAATTTGAAGCTTGAAGTTGCTGAAATATTTAGGTCACAATTTAGGGCCATTAAAATTCTCCCTGATCTTTGAGAGTTAGGTTACAAATTTTATATCATTGGAATCGTGAGATTAAATGCTACATGTTTTATGTTATGAGTTTTGGTTTTTGTGCAAGCATCTGAGAGTTACAGGTTGAAGCATATACGCGCACGCAGAGATGGCTGGAGGATAGGGATGACTTTCCTTGGGCCTTTGGCGCGCCTTGGCCTTCTGTTTTGATTTTCACACCCCCCTGACCACTATTTGCACCCCCTGATTCTTATTTTATATTTTTTGCATTTTTCTTTATATTTTCATGTTTATTGCTTTTAATCATTTTTTCTTAACTTTAAAAATCCTAAAAAATAATTAAATATTTTTTTGCAATTTTTTTTTTCACATGGAAAATAGTTTGTTTTAATAAATAGAACTTATTTTCTTATAATAAATTATAAATACATTTAAAAATACTATACATTTTTATTTTATTATTTTACACATAAAATATTCATTTTCTCATACATATTTAATTTTTAATATTGACATATAATATTATTTATTATTTTCTTGTACAAAAATGGACAAAATAAATAATAGGAAACATATATTTTCTTTTAATTGAAAATTAGGGTTTCACCCTTTCAAAAATAATAATGTTTTTTCTCTTATTTTTAGGGCTTAAATAAATCATTTTTTTCATACATTAAACAAATACAAAACATTTTTGCATAAATACATTTGCATTGCATTTTTAATATTTGTATATTTATTTAATGCGCACAATATTCAATTGGGTTGTAATAGTATTTTTAGGGTTTATTTTTTGCAATATCCCCATTCAAAAACTTGTATCCCCCCTCTCATAATAATTGTTGTAATAGCTTAGTTTACATTTACGCAATTTATCGCATTTATACCATGTTTAGTAAACTAGGGTTTGCATGACAAGACCAAAAACAAAATAAATAGAAAATACCTAATCCAAGACAAATCAAAAGCATGTAAAATGACACACATTGCACACAAGCACCCTTAGGGTTTCACCCACTTGGTTGCCTAATTTAAAATGGCCATGTTACGCATGCGAAGTATCTTGGCAAAACAAAACAAAAAAAAATAAGATCATAGTCCCTCGATGACGCTATCAAAAGGTTGCCTAAAACAAAATGATCTTGGTCCCAAAAACATGCTAAGATACTTGGCAACATTGCTATCATGGTTATACGATGACCCACGCCCGTCCCGTTTACATCCAAAGATAGGGTTGTTTACCAAATCAATGGTAAATCAACAATGTCAAAGGAATAAAAATGCATAAGAAAGACATTTAAGTAGGTAGATAGCTTCTAGTTACTTGATCAATTTCAAAACAATCTTGCTATTTTCAAAAGCAAACACACACACATTTCAAAACATCTTACAAAACATTGAAACATTTTTCAAAAGACAAACATCTTTGTATACATTCTTACGAACGAGAATCATTACAAAGATTGCCTAAACGAATGGCCTCTTTTCAAAATATTTTCAAAACCACACAAAGCACGATTTCAAACAATTTCAAAGCAAAGCAAGTGATCTAAACAAGTAACTAAGAGCCCATGGAAAACCATGGATGAAAAGGGTGATAGCACCTTCCCTTTTCATAATCTATCCCCCGAACTCAAGAAAACATCTCAAAGGTCTTTCCTGTGCTTTTTTACCTTTACTTTTGGATAAAATAAAAGTCGGTGGCGACTCTTGCTAAACCGCGACATTTGCGACAAAACGCAAAACCTCAAGTTAGTTCTCCCACCGTATCACAGTTATGAACATGTTTTTGGTGTTAAAGAGAAATTACACTAAAAGGTTAAACTACTCTAAAAATAACTTTTTCATTCATTTCATTAATGATAATTACATTCTTCTATCACTTATTTACAACATTGAAACTATCTACTTACTCATTTAGATCCTTCCAAAGGATAATGACTCAACACTATTAATTTTAACGGGCTTAAAGAATTTGGGTCTTATTCATTACATTCCACCAATATTAAAAAACAACTTTGTCCTCAAGGTTGTGAAGATTGCTCCTACCACATTCCCATTAGCATCAAAATTTAAAGCAGTCGATCTTTTCCCTTTCACCATAATCACCAAATATTTGTCTTTTGCCAACAATGAACTGAACATGAGTGTTGAGGATCCATCTCAAAAACAACCCAAGAATGAACATTTTATGAATCTTATAGCTTAACCAGTCACCATACGAAAGAAGCATGGGGAGAATCATGGAAAACATAAACATGAGAACAAAAAATAAGCAGCTTAACAAAACTTGGTTTCTGTACATACGAATTTCATTCGACTTCTCGATTTATATATTTCTCTATTTGTTGAGTTAGTATGCAAAGTTGCTTGATACACATTTTGACCACTACTAGCTTCATGAACACACTGTATAAGAAATCTTGGACTTGTAATACCTGCATCATAGCTAACTGTAGCTTTTTGTTATGTTAAATCCACTTCAACATGTTTCACACCAGGAGATAAATCAAGAGAAGAAACTATAACATTTAAATCCTCTAGTGAATCTATCCCTTCAAGTTTTATATGGACTTTGTTCATATCATTCCTCAAACTAACAAGTTATGCTCCAAAACCAGCATCTTCTACAACTTCAATTATTTTGTTGGTATCAATGACTTTAGGATCAAAGATTACTTTTTCTTCATCTAAGGTCAGACCAACTATCACCTTTTTCACTCTATCATCCATTTGTAAGGCATGCTCAATAGATCAAGAACAGCTTATGCACGTCATTCCCTTAATCTTGATTCGACATTCTGTTATTTCTTTCTCCGTGTGCTCATTTACTTCAATTTTAGTTTCTTCTATCGTTTCTTTTATCTTGTTTGCCAAAAAATTTCTTCCTGGATCCCATTGCTTAAAAGTGAAGAACCAATCTTTTTTTCACATCTTCAATTGGCCATCCGGATCCCAACTTATCATTTTCCTCACATTGCTCACAAAACTGACAAATTTAGAAATCAATTCTTCATCATAGGATGCAAGTGAAGCAAGTGGTTTGGGAAATACAATTGCGGAAATCAAAACTTTTTATATGGAAATTTCTAAAACAATTTACATGCATGAATAACACTTCCATGTGTAGCTGCAAGAACAAAGAATTTGCTTCCAATAATATCGTTACACTCATAACCAGTAGTGAGAACCAATCCTAAATAAAAGCCTCTAATTATCTCATGTTTTTCCAATAGCGACTTTATGCAATCCATTAAACATGAGCTAACTAACAATGCATCATGTAGAATATTATTCTTCTCAATGACACCCAAAATTGCAAACATATCAACATACAAACAGAAATTTCCACAAATGTAATGATAAAGTTGTTGGATGTCAAATAGTGTGGTCTAGAGTCGAAAACCATAGTGGAGTTTAGTGAAAGATTTGCAAAGTTTGGATTAAGCTTTTTGATCTCAAACTCAAACCGCATGAGATGTACAAAATCAAACATGGTGAAAAGTATATTTTCCAATAAGTTAGGAAAATAATATCTTGTCAGAATCATGGTCATGGCTGAGAATAAAAATTTCAGTGGCGGTGGGAAAATGATGAATCTGCATACTCTCGTGAGCGCTTCAGGTGTGCATTCTTTTTCTAACTTTGAAATAGCATCAGGAGGTTTTAGTGGAATTTCGTAATCGGCATCGTCATGAAAATATCCAAGGTTGGAACCATCCGCTAGCCACTTTGCTGGGTGGAGATTCATGAAAACCCTAGAAACAATGTCCTTGAAACGGTCTCTGACAGATGAGGATAAATCAGAAATAAAGTTAGTTTCGAACTCATATTTCACAATATCAATGTTATTGACTACAAGCTCTGAATTAAAGTTAGATGGGATTAATATTGGAACGAGGGCTTGAGTTGCAATCATAGCACTCAACCCAACATCATCATTTTCCTCAACAAGATGTTCATCGTTGAATACAAAGGAAGACACTTTTAACTTCTTTGTGGGGATGATAATGTCATCTGGATTCGTCGATGAAGATTGGAATGATGACTCCTCCTCGTCGTCACCCAGTACTGTGAAATCTAGATCCCCAATTATAGGTGGGGAATAATATTTGTTGAAATCACAAAATCCTTCTTACATCCCTGATGATTGTTCATCGACACTCTCACCTTGTTGCAACTGTAGTGGTTTGAACTTCAGAGCCTCTTCAGCGTTGAGTTGTGATTTTACGATTTCAATCATGAATGAATTCTAGAATGATGCATATTGTTGAGAAAATGGAGTGGGTGAATACCAACATGGATTTGGTGTGGGGTAGTGAGAATGAAGTTGGGAAATGAAAAATTGTTGAAGATGGAAAGAATTATACTAAACATTTTGATGTTGTTCAGCAAGGGATATGGCGTTGGGACTGATAGACTTTAAATATTGATAAGCTTGTGGTTTCAACAATGTATGAACATTTATGGTGGTAGGGTCATAATGGTAGTAATTATAGAGAAAAAAATTCATGGCAATGAAAGCACCATTTGTTATGAACATGCTTTTGGTGTTAAAGAGAAATTACACTAAAAGGCTAAACTACTCTAAAAATAACTTTTTCATTCATTTCAGTGATGATAGTTACATTCTTCTATCACCTATTTATAACATTGAAACCAACTAATAACCTGTGATACGGTGGGAGAACTGACTTGAAGGTTTTGCATTTTATCGCAAATGTTGCGCTTAGCAAGAGTCGCCGCCGACTTTTCTTTTATCCAAAAGGAAAGGTGAAAAAGCACAGGAAAGACCTTTGAGATTATTTCTTGGGTTCGGTGGGTAGATTATAAAAAGGGAAGGTATTAGCACCCTTTTTATCCATGGTTTTCCTGGGCTCTTAGTTACTTGCTAGATCACTTGCTTTTGTTTAAAATTGTGCTTTGTGTAGTTTTTGAAAGTATTTTGTAAAAGAGGCCATTGTTTAGGCAATCTTTGTAATGATTCTCGTTCGTAAGAATGCATACAAAGATGTTTTTATTTTTGAAAATGTTTTCAAGTTTGTAAGATGTTTTGAAATGTGTGTGTTTGTTTTAAAAATAGCAAGGATATTTGTTTGAAATGGAGCAAGTAACCAAAAGTAATCTACCTACTCAAATGTCTTTCTTGTTCATTTTCTTTTCCTTTGATATTGTTGTCTTACCATTGATTTGGTAAGCAACCTTATCTTTGGATGTAAACGGGACAGGCGTGGGTCATCGTATGACCATGATTAGCAATGTTGCAAAGTATCTTAGCATTTTAAGGGACTAAGATCATTTTTGTAAGGAAACTTTAAATAGCGTCATCGAGGGACTATGATCTTGTTGTTTGTTTTTTGCTAAGATACCTTACATGTATAATATGGCCATTTTGTTCAAGGCAACCAAGTGGAGTAACCCTAGGGGTGTTTATGTGCAAGTGTGTCATTTTCATGCTTGATTTTGTCTTGAATTAGGGTTTTCTATTTGATTGGTTTTATCTTGCCATACAAACCCTAATTATTAACATGTTATATAAAGCGATAAATTGCGGAAAGTAAATATCCTACGCTATTACAATCATTTGAGGATGGGGTGTACAAATTTACAAATGGGGATTGCAAGAAATTATAGTCCTAATTATCTATTACAACCATATTGAATAGCCATGAAGAAAATATATGAAGCATTTAAAAATAAAGAAAAATGAAAGGAAAAGAAAATATTTTGGATCATTATGTGTCGACACATGCCGTAAAATCAAGCTTCTCGAATGCACTTTTGCTCTGATGAAGACAACTCATGATTGATAAAGAAGGCAAAAATTATTGATCAAGCTAAAATCCTCTTTGGATGAAGTCTTTGGTTCAAGCCCTTAGCAAGTTTCAAGGTATAATGATAATACTTACCTTGAACTTAAGGTATAGATGCTCAATGGTCAAAAAGAAACATTTTATATTGTCCAACTCTTTATTCAAGTATTTTCAAAGCAAAAATTCAATTTTCATTTGAGTGCAATCGATTTGCATGTTAGTGCAATCGATTGCATGCTTCAGTATTTTAAAACATGGCTACTGACTCCCAGTGCAATCGATTTGCATGGTTGTGCAATCGATTTGACACTCAAAATATTTGGAAATCTGGCTACTGGAACCCCGTGCAATCGATTTGCATGGTTGTGCAATCGATTGAACACTAAAAAAAATTGGAAATATGGCTACTGGAACCCCGTGCAATCGATTTACATGGTTGTGCAATCGATTGCACACTGTATGGTTTTGAAAAACAGCAACCTTACACCTGCCTGTTCATGATACTATTTCATGGAAAACTTTTCACTCAATCTTGGAAATTCTTCATGATTTTTTTTACAAACCTTTTCTTCAAAGGTCACTGCATTTTAGCCTCAAAAATGAACCAAATGATGATGATTGACATGAAGAGTTTTAAAGTTAAGGAGACTTACCTTGCAGCTAGAATTTATGTTTTGAGCTTGAGGTGTTGCCTTGTGGACTGTTATGACCTTTTTCAGTTATGAGATTTTTTGAGAGTTTGTCAACAAAACTTCTGGTTTTCTTTCTATTTTTTCTAACCTCTCTCTCTCTCTTTTTCCAACCTCTTCCTCTTGCAAATGCTTCTTCTATATATAGGCAAAGGACTTGTGAACAAAGGCTGAATAGGTTTACAAGACAACATGTTATGGTTTGGTTGGGATGTAAGTATCAAACTATGTCAAGTACTCCATGGTTCCAAGATGAAGTGCCAAAGTTGCTGGTATTCAGTAGCTACTTCCCATGATTTATGGTTGAGTATAATTAGCAACAAGCAAGGTATGGGCTCAAGACAAACTTTGTACAAAAAGCTTGTTTTTCAAGAATAGCAATGGTGCCTTTATGCCATAAATGGAAAGATCCTTTGACAATGGCTTAAACACTTGGGTAATAGCTCAAAAGTGGGTGTAAACATTAAATTATATAGAGATTTGCAAGCAAGAAGGTGTGCAACATAAGATTATGCAGCAAATCATGAGAATTTTGTTATGTGTTATTCACTTAGAATGACTTGCAATTCAAAGATGGATGGCCAACTTCAAGCCCTTGAATCTCCTAGCTCAAGTATGATAAATTAATGCTCTTGGATGTTTTGGAAAGCTTGAAACAACCTCTATAACTTTCATGTTGTCCATTTTGACATAATCATCTTGGAACTATGTGAAAAAATGCCAAGAAGTTGGGATAAAATCCTGAACAAAATATGTTGAAAATTTCTAAGTGTAAAATGAAAATGACATGACTTCATGAATTTATAACTCAAGATCCAAGCACTTCTAGGAGAAGTTGTGTAAAGCAATGTTGTAGATATCATGGAGATCTACAACTTTCATGTTGAAAGTTTCCCTTGAACTGTCTTGCATCTTGGTGAAAGAATGGCATGAAGTGATAAAATTATCATGTATAAAACACTTAGAAAATTTCTAAGTCTTGGAAATCTTGACTTTTCAAGTTGACTTTTGACTTTCTTGAATTCTTGATGATCAAGCTTGATATTCTTTAATGTCTTGATGAAATTTGATCTTTGGATGTAATGTTGACCAAAAACTCAAAGTTTGACTTTCTAATATGCAATTGACCAGTTTGCCCTTGTGCCAATTCCAAGCCTAAATTGATGTATGAGTGCTGCAAACTTGACGTCATAGAAGATCTTGTGAGAGAATCCTTGAGAAATGAGAGGGAAAATTTTGGGGTACAACAGTTGCCCCTGTTCAATCTTCTTAAACATGAAGAGTCAGATTGGTGAGTCCCCCATTCGTGGCTTGAAGGTGAAAGATGATTGAACACTAGAGTGCCCAGAAATTTGCACTCGAAGATGGATGTTGAATGGGCTTATAGATTCCATTTGGAGGAAAGTTGATAAACATTAGAAGAAATATCAACACAAATCTCTTGTTGATTTATACTAAAACTTGATGTTTTACCTATGAGAAAAAAGAGTTAGTAAAATGCAGATGCATGCATGATGTTCACCAAATGTGGTATTATGCTAAATGCATAGGGTATGTACATTCTATGATGTATGATCGTGAGATGTATGTTTCTGTCTGGGAAAATAAATCCCTGACTGCTGCTGAGGAAATTCTGGGGGGTTGAATCCTTGATTGCCGTTGGGGATGAAGAATATGCATATCTTCAAACTTTGTTGAAAGGATGCTTTCACTGGGGAATATCTCTTGAATGTCAGCTATTATCTGGTCGAATCCAGGCTTCACAATTTGCTGAGGATGAAGTAGTCAACTGCTATCTGGTCGGATCCAGGATTCACGGTAACTTACTGGGGGAAGAGATGAATTAACTATTATCTGGTCGGATTCCAGGCTTTGCATAAAATTTCTTGAAATTGAATAGTTATCTAGTCGGATCCAGGCTTCACAACAACTTGCTGGGGATACGGAAGTTAACTGTTATCTGGTCGGATCCAGGCTTCGCAGTAACTTGAAATGGTAACTACTATCTGGTCGGATCTATGTTTCATAGTTTTTGGAAAGCTGTACTATTATCTGGTCGAGTCCAGGCTTCATAGTGCCTCTCTGGGGATCATACTTAATTGTTATCTGGTCGGGCTCCAGGTTTCACAATAAACTGTTTGAAAGAAACTGTCATCTGGTCGGGTCCAGGCTTTGCAGATTTCTGAGGTTGATGAGGTCAATTGCTATCTGGTCGGGTCTAGGTTTCACAATAAACTGTTTGGGGATTTAGTTATTATTTGGTCGGTTTCCAGGTTTACAATAAACTGTTTGGGGATTTAGTTGTTATCTTGTCGGTTTCCAGGTTTCACAATGAATCTCCGAGGGTAATCGCTATCTGGTCGGATCCAGGCTTCACAACAACTTGTAGAGGCAAACTCTACTGGGGAAAATAAATTAAACCTTGGTCGGATTGGGTCCAGGTTCTTCTATGTCTTTGAAGAGTTAGACTATTATCTGGTGGGGTCCAGGTTTCATAGCATCTTGAAATTGAGATCAACTGTTATCTGGTCGGGTCTAGGTTTCAGATACTCAAACGGTTATCTGGTCGACTCCAGGTTTCAGCAACTTGAAGAAGTCAAACTATTATCTGGTCGGGTCCAGGCTCCCGTAATAACTTGAAAATTGTGCTAATACCTGGTCGTATCCAGGCTTCATAGTATCTTTTTTTTTGAAATAGTAAAGGCTTTGCTGACGGCTTTACTGGGGATCAGGGGTTGTGG